CTAAACAAATTTTGTTGTAAAAGTAGGGTGCTGAACATCCACTATCAGCCTCATCATGATTGTTGAACAAAACTTTTTTGCAACTCTGAATGCCTGGAAATAATGCTGACAATTTGTAGAGCTGCAGCCCCTCCCCTCAAAGAAATAAAATTAACACGGCGATAGAGTCTGTTTTGGAAATATGGTACCTCTGGATGCCTGGAAATACAAGCTGGCAAACCTGTATAGCCACCACCCCTCCCCATCTTGTCTATTGGCAGACAAAGATTTGAAGTGTGGGGACTAGAGATATACCCACCTCTGCCCCATATGTTTTGGGCCATGGCAAGTTGAGCAAAATTTTGGCACCATAACTAAGTTGTTGTTATGAAAATAGGCCTATGTAGTACAATAACTGTACATCATACATTTACTAAATTTATCTATATTGAAATATTTGCTCCGAGCATACACTATATTCCATATTCTAAGTTTCATGGAATGAATATATCCCCATAGCAGACTTGAGAGTGTGTGAATAATGTTCATGAGGTACCGTACTCTCCCATATATAATACTAATAGGAAGATTATTTTAAAGGGCATCATATTCTTACTGGTATGACTCAAGAAAAAATAGAGATAATAAAGGCCTATGCCCTGTACATGATGCTAAAGAGTGGGCACAGAAAAAAGCATCCAGGTTAAAAATGCTATATCTGGACACAGAATGTGGTAGCATTGACCAAATTACAACATCTAGCAAATTACAATTCGTAAGATTATTTTAAATCATGGGAATAGACAAATATAGGTCTACTGCGAAAATGATATATTGTTCAAAATGTAATTAAATTGCTTATTCCTCCATGAATAAATAAAGTGCAAGAAACACGAATATGTACAAGGAATAACAATGATAACTGTAATTATATCTACACGATGTGCAGTATTGAGAAATATGCAATTAATTAAATAGGCCTAGAACATGTTCTATGAATACACATGATACAGTATGCTATGAATTATCTATGGAAATACAGTAGGCCTCCTATGCCTACACAAGTAACGTCGCATTTCGACAAACTTACTGCTTGTACAATTTAATTTATACTTACCAAATTCAAACTGAAGCATAATCAATTATCTATCACGCTCCAGGTCAGTTATATTATCACTTGAATTATTAAAATGCTGTAATTAAATCCTGTGTTTTTTCTGGTAGACCTTACACTCAAACAGACCATGTAGATACCTCCATGTACAGATTTAACAGGTGATATAGACAGAGCACTAACATTCAAGGGCTATTCAGCTTTTTTGTAAAAGAGTGAGGAGGGGCACAATGTTGTTAAATGTGGCTAGTTTTACAGGGGTTCAGTGGTCATACCGTGGAAACTTTGTTTACCTGGATGCCCAGAAAAAATATGAAATAATTATGATGATGATGATGATGATGACGATGATGATGAAGATGAAACTTTGTTTAAAGGGAGTCCAATTTGGAATCAATGGAAAATAAAGGCCCCGGTAAGGGTGCTGGGAAAATTCCCTAGAAAAATCAGTAGTTTCGATTATGGTATAGACTAATTTGTGTTGCTATATTTAGTCTTATAAAATAGTAATACTTCCAGAGAGCAAAGCCATATCTTCCCATTTAGCACGGAGACTAAAAAGCTGGGCAAAAATTTGATGGTTCTGGTGGTAGCGTATGGCATGTTTGGTATTGATTTAATTTTAGTTATCGTTGCTTTGCATTACATTGGAATTGTTGATTTTGTCGGGTCGCCAACCCGTTACAAATTCTCGACATCCCCCACCACCACTCGTCTAACACCACGACGAGGTCATCAGACTAAATTAATATTCAAATCCAATCAAAGACGTTGTTATGATTGCTGTTCCCTAATATTATAGTCTAAAAGTATAATTTTGGGATGCCCGAAAATAGCAACTGGCAATTATAGAGCCAAATACCACTCCCCAGCAAGGGGCAGAAACAGCATGCATGATGTGAACAAATTATGAAATTATGCATCTTTGATACCAAAAAATAGCATCTGGCAACCAAGAATAGCAAGTAATCAGGGCTGGCTTTATCCACATAAGCCTTGTGTTGTGACTAACCCCAACATTTCATACATAGTTAATTGTAATTATATGTTTATACCTCTAAACATTGTCAAAATTACAAAACATTTTTGAGGGTGTAGACTTTTCTGTTATTTGCCATTGTCTCTTATTTGATATTTTTAATTGTAATATTTCTACCTTTAATGTAATAGGCCTATGTATGTAATATTTAATGTGAAACTGAATTTTTATGTACCATATTGTTAATCTTTAGACATTTATTTTTTATATCATTTATGTATTTTTATGGCGACTGTTTTTTTTTGGTTTTTTTTGGTTTTTTTTCTGTGTTTTGACACACTGTTGGGTCTTTAATAGATAAAAAAAAATAAAAAAAATAAAATATGTAATAATATTGAGAAAAGTGGTCCGGCCAAAGCCGGTGCGGCCGGTGCAGTTCCGACGGCCCTGATTTGTATATTTTGATATTAATGTATATTCTGTAGCAATTAGATATGGTTATTTGAAATGTTTTAACCATTGTATATTTCAACATTGCTTTCTGAGTGTTTTTATACAAAAAAAAATGAAATAAAATGAATCTTAAGTATACACTAAACATTGTGTCCTAAGTTGTGTTTGGCATTATCAAAATTATGTTTCAAAACAAGAATTGCCCCAAAATATTATTATTATAATAATAATAATAATAATAATAATAATAATAATAATAATAATAATAATAATAATAATAATAATAATATTAAATAATAATAATAACAACAATAATAACAATAATAACAACTACTTTATTTTAACACGGAAAACTTATCACCTAAAGGTGTTTTTCATCAAGGCTGTGCAAGACCGTAAGTGGTAAAATATAAAAATACAAGATATGAAATACTGAACCATAAACAAAAATTATTAAATGAAAAATTAAATAGTACTTATCTATGTCAAAATCAATCAAAACATGTAAAGTGATTAATTTCAATAGTTAATTAATTAGAATATCAGAAGTATTCTTTAAATTTAGTAATGTTTGCTGAATTTCTATACTCATCATTTAAATTATTCCATAACATAACACCATGGTACATTAAACTGCTTGTTTTATAATCAGTTTTAGGTTTTCCAATATATAAGACATATTTGTTCTTGTATTGTATTGTGGGTTCCTTAAGGTTAATCTGTTCCTAAGATATGGGGCTAAATCATGAAATATTTTAAACATAGTACAGCAATAGCCTTATTTTAGAAACTTTTGTTTCAAGTCTTACCCATTTAAAATCCTGTGGAACCATTTTTTACATAGACAATGAAGTAACATATATATATATTTATCCCATAATTTTACAGCTGAAAATGATAAAATACTTCCAGCCAATTGAAGTGTTTTTATTATTTTTATCATTATCTGTTATATAACACATTTTAAAATTAAATAATTTCTATGTTCAAGTTAATAATTTCTATATTACTGCAAAATGAGCATGTTAATAATTAGCCTCCCCAAAAAAGCGAACGGCCATTCCAAGGCAAAACAATGTAACTTTTAACAAAAAATGTTGTTCTTCATGTCATCGTTGTCATCATTGGTAGTAACTGTTTGATTCCTGATGATGACATAATAAATGTCGAAATATTGAATCCTGACACGATGGCGGGCATTTCAATACTTGGAGTATGTATTATACTATCCTATCTGAGATAAATCAGTGGACCTTTCGGTTGTTTGAAATCATCCCAACTTTTTATGGTGCTGGTTTGTTGTGTCTGTTGTTCTATGTATATTGTTATGCTAATGAATCTTTTCATTGAGCACAAAAGACTTTCATTTCTCTCCTTCGTTTCTTGTATTGTCTTGTTTGCTGAACTTGAGTTGCATTAAGGTGATTTCCTATACTATTCAACCATTCTTTGCTCTTAGAAAATCTGCAAGTAAGATTATTCCATCATTCCAGTTTGTTAAAGATGCTGGTCTGCTTAAATGTTACAATTTAAGGAATCCCAGGCTATATATACCTTTTTGCCGACTTAACTGTAGTCAAATCGGAAGAAAGCCACCCCTGTCAAAAGCCACCCCTGTCAAAAGCCACCCCTGTCAAAAGCCACCCCTGTCAAAAGCCACCCCTGTCAAAAGCCACCCCTGTCAAAAGCCACCCAATAATGGATCATACCATTGTAAGGTGGGGTGCGCAATGTGATACTTGTCTTGATGTTGGTCTACAATCAATTTCTTTTGTGTATTATGAATTAGAAACTGGGTGTAGCCTTCCTAGGCATAAACATATTTTTTTTTTAATTAAAAAAAAAAAACATTTCTAGAAGCCATCAAGGTTACAAATTTTCAATTCATAATGCATACAAGATACTTTAAAGAATAATATGGTATTGTAATATTTAGATATAAGAAGAAATGAAAAATAATGATAATATGGTAGCAAATAATACTGGATAAATGATAATTGTTACCTGGGGGAAAAAAATTTCTAGAAACCACCCAATTGCATAATTAAGAGAAGCTATTATGTTTTGCATTTGAAGTACTAAATGTTTATGGCTAGCTAGGCTACACCCAGTCTATAACTTATAATACAGAAAAGAATAAAATAATAGTTGTGATACAAAAACTCTTGGCATCCTAAACCTATTGTAGAGTAACATCAAGACAAACAACCCATTGTGCACCCCCACCTGTAAGGTAGTAGAGTCCATTGTTGGGTGGCTTTTGACAGGCTGGGGGTGGCTTTTAACAGGGGTGGCTTATTTCCTACATTCCAAATGTTTATTACTGCTGCAGGTCCTAGGTTATGGAATGAACTCCTCCTTTATTATATTAAACAATTTGTTAGTTTACCTGTATTAAAAAAAATTACATTATTTAAGCCTATACCAAAATTAACGCTATACATTACTATCATCATTATTACTATTATTATTATTATTATTATGATATGATTAATATGAATATAATAATTGATTCTTATTGTTATATTATTATTATTATTATTATTATTATTATTATTATTATTCTATTATTATTATTTTTTTACTGTATTATATCTTTATTATTATCTAGGTTCACTATGAGACAAGGCTTGCCTTCAAATTGTGATCCTAACAATGGCCTTTATTATTTTTTTTCCCTTTCTCGTTAAAGTTGTTTCCATGTCATTGTCATTGTTGAATAAAGTTGAAGTTGGGAAAAAAGGAGAGGTGGTAGCCATGCCAAAACATATGTTTCCTCCAATCAATGAAGAACATTAAATAAGGGGTCTAAAACTAATCGCTTAATGTTAGGCATTCGAACTGTCATTCAGCAGGTAATAAAACTCACTAAATTTGTGATTATGTTACGAAACACTCTGTTGACATTATGTTTCTAACTGAAACTTGGATGAATCAGAATGATTCAGTCAAGATTGGTGAACTCGCTCCCATGGCTATACATTCATTATTGTTCCATGCATTTCTTCTAATGATAATCATGGTGGAATTGAAGACCTTAAAATTGTTTGTATTGGAGATAGTAGATTTAAGACCGTTACATCTTTTAAATATGCAGTTGTTTCTAAATCAAGGTCATTTCAGGTTATAACAATATATCAGCTTCCTCCATCTTCCATAAATCACGGCTTCCTCCATCTTCCATAAATCAATTACGTACTTCTGCTTTTTTGACTGAATTTGATGACTCTCTTGATGTCGTGAACTTGCTTCCTGGAAGCCTTTTATTTTGGGCGACCTTAATTTGAATTATGACAACCCAACTAAGTCTGATGTCGCACAAGCTATAACCACTCTATCATCCCATAACTTTGTACGAGTTGTTACAATTCCTACCCACGAGCTTGGTCATATTCTTGACCCAGTTATTATTTGTTCTGAAGATACTGATATTGTTAAGCTTAGTCTTTTCATGTGATCCTCGTACATACTCCGCTCCTCTCATCAGTGAACTTCATTGGTTGCGAGTTAACAATAGAATTATTTTCAAAATTATTCTCACTGCTTACAAATGTATATATAGTTTTCCCCTAACTATTTGTGTGGTTTTCTACATGGCCCCCCCCCCCCCACTTTTTTTTCTAAAAATAATGTCTGGAGATTTTTGTGTGACCGGAAAAAAAATTCTAGACCTACCTTTTCAGGACCTGTGAGCTAATTTTTTTATGTTACAATCAGAAAATTAGAATTTTGAAGAACAAAGTCATTAGAAACCTAGCTCAAAATTTGAGAAAGGTCATTTCCCACCATCTAGAAATCAAAATTTTCCCATGGTAGGACCCCGGATCCCCTTTCCTTTTTGGGAAAAATGTTGACCTCCATCCCCTAGGTTTTTCCAGATCTGCATGATTCATATTCCCATTCATTTTATAAGTGGGCCCCCCCCCCCCACTTTGAAAAATGTTCCGTCGACCCTGTTCTAGACCAACGTATCCCTGCACGTACAACACATTTCTCTTCATCGGTACATTTCATTATACCACGTTACAACAAGAGAATTGGAGGTTTTTAATTGATTAATACTATATATATATTTGCATTGTATATTACCTAGTGGCGGACCATAGGGTAAAATGTACGCTATGCTACTGTTGAGGCTGCCAGTGGGTAAAGTTTCAACTTCCATCAATTAACCTGAAAAAAAAAAACTACAAATATAAGACTTGTTCTATAGTCTAATATGTTTCAAACGTACAGCCATAATATCGGCACTTTTTTGAACGCACAGTCACCTATAGTTCTAGTGGTGGAACAAGTCTTCTCAATAAGGAATGTAAACCATATGCCCAGTGTATACAAATGTGCACTTTAAAGAACCCAGTACATCCTTTGAGATGAGTAGGGAGTTTCCCCAGTACTTTATGTTGTGGTCAGACGAAAGTAGCTGTTGCGGGTAACTCAGACATGAAGAGACACTTAAGGGAGAAGCAAGTTACTGTACGAGTTAGTCAAGCCCTTTGAGACTTTAGATTTTGGAATTTCAGGCAATACAAATTACCCATTTGGGAGTGGAGGCCTGATTAGGCTAGTAATAATACTGTAGAGAAGCAGCAGTTACAGGAAGTATTGAAACAAATATTAAAACATTAATATTTGGAGGGTCCTAAATACAGTATATCAAGTCAAGAAGGTAATAACAAAGTACCACCTCCCAGCTACATTCCTGTCTTAATGCATTGGGAATAATTCCTAAAAGTAAAGTATTATGACATTCAGTTTTACAATTGTTGGTTTTGCCAGGTCTTAATGTGTACTTCATTTCTGCTGTGTTCATTTCCTTTCTTCAAACCCACCTCTCTACTCCATGCAACACCCAGGTCAAGTCATTTTTATCTTTTTTTATTATATTTCAGGTATTTTGACAGTCCAAAAAAGATATAATGACATTTTACTTTGTAAGGGGTTGTCAAACCTTAGTGTAAACCTTCTTCTTCTTCTCAACAATTTTAAAATAAAATTAATATGCAACACACTGCACACAAAAACAAATAAATAAATAAATAGTAAGACGTTAAAACTAAGATGGATAAAAAAATATAATGAATTAAGAAAAGATGTGCCTTTGTGACATGTAAAGTATTTATTTATTAATTTTATTTATTCTTTCTTTACTGTAGGCACTTTCAGTACTATTACACTGATTTTCAAAGTGGTACAGTTTAAACATAACTAAAATATATACAATATAAAAAATTGTTTAACAACAAATAAAAAGAATGTAAATAAATAAACACACAAAAAATAAAAAACTAAGCAAACAATCAAAATCTGTGTTGGAAATCGGCACTGCACAACTGTTGTTCTGAGACACTAAAAGGATGTTTGATAAAAACGTGGGAATGGTTAAAAAGATACTAGACCTTTTGTTATTTAAAAAATGTGGGGAAAACGATGGTTAAGCCTCTTTTCCCGCAAGTTTATAAATATTTAAAAATCTGTACTTTTTTTTTTATCAAGCATCCCATCAATGTCTCAGAAAATTCATTTGTACAACATACTAAACTTTTTTCCTCAAGCCTTATTTTAAAGGGTTCTGTTTTACAGAATGCTTCCAGAAACTAAAGGGTTTCTCCATGTTGGTCATTTTCAACATCCATTTGCTGAGATCAAGGTAGCTTGCTTTCTTCTTTTCATTAGTTGCACTGTTAATTCAGATCTAGTATTGTTTTATTAGTACTAATCAAAATATAATCTGATCAATATGATCATTATTTTCATTCATTCAACATTTTATTTTTGGGAAAAATAACAAAATATTCCCAAGCAACATAATGAACTACTGTAAAGTTGACCTGTGCATCCCAGGGTAAGATAGTTCAAGTCAGAGCCCACATAAATTATTATGTTGATGCTGTTCTATTATTTTTCGTCTAGGCATTATGTGATGCATTCCATCATAAGAGAAAGATGTAATGCAATTAGCGGTAATTATTGTTCCATTAGGCCAATTAAAGTTAATTGCTAATTTCACGTCCCCATTTACTATTTTCCAAAAACAATAATTGTTTTCGAAGCCTAAATATATGGCGCCAAAACATGGACGATAAAAAGGGAGCTTGAGAAGCGACTTGATGGCGCATACACAAGGTTACTCATGCAGGTTCAAAATATATCATGGAGAATCCTTGCAACTAATTCAGAAATCTATTGGAGAATCCAACCTATTGTGGCTCAGGGACACGCCTGGACATTGCCTCCAGGTTGGGGATCAGATGATTTCTGACATTCTGCTATGGAAATTGCCATGTTCAAGTAGAGGGCATACACCACTAACTTATCCTGACACTATTGCAAGAGATATTGGCATTAGACCAGAGGAGGTTGAGCTAGCAATGGCTGATAGAATGATGTGGCATGTCCGAGTGTCATCTATCTCGACTGCGGTCGATGGATGGTGATGATGAAAGCCTAAGAGGTGGAAACATAAATGACAGGATATATTACATTTAGAATCATTTTAATTCTTTTCTAATTTTTTTTTTAAATATTTCCACTAATAAATAGCATAGTAAATAGTAAAATACCCTTTTACCAAAAATAATTTCAAATCCCGGACGTGAAACTAACAATATTTTTTTTTTGGCCTTAGCTGCTCCCAACAAGTGGTTTCTTGCTTAATGATGAAATTACTGGATGGCATTTTATTTTATTGGATTAACAAATGTATTTTGAAATATAATTTTAATTGTGTTACTATTTCCATATTTTACTTTGCAAGGTAACTAAAGATCTCAAAAAATTTGATAACAAAATAATCGAATGCACATTTGAAAATAACCAATGGGTATTCATGAGAGAACGGACAGACAAAAGCTTTCCAAACGCATACAAGACGGCAATGAGTAAGTGAAAATTAATGGTCTTCAATACAATCTTTCATTTTTATTTAAGTAGTTTATAGTTTATCATGTTCAAAATACTTTCAATGTAGGCTTACTGTTTATTTTGATCTATAAAAATTTAATATGTGAATTTCTTTGTTTATTTTTTGTTTAAAATGAAAACAAGAATCTTATATTTATCTTGACAGTTAACAAGTGCATCAATATTATTAATTTGCATAGACTTCATATTGACTGGTATTATAATCCATCTAAGGATTTTGTAGGAAAGATTTACAATTTGTTTGATCCTTTTAAATGAGCTCGTCAGTGTGTTTTAATTGTTATTCATGTAGCCTAAATCTGTGCACCTCAGCATTGTTATTTTAACACAAAAATTGAAAATTACCTTTTAAAGTATAAAAACATCAACAATCATTAGAATATTAAATCAGAAATGAATGAAAACTGGTATGTAGAACTAAAAAGACAGTAATAATAATAAAATAAATAAATAAATAAAGAAGACATTCATAATCCATGGATACAAATTGAGAACCATTGAACATCAAATATATCAACCTATAGATTTTATAGAGTGATACATTGTTTTTCACTACAGTACTGTATCTTGGAATAAAATAGCACCAATATTTTTAAGCTGTTTTCTTAGTTTTGTCCTTTTATAATTAATGATTGTTTTCTTATTATTTAAATTTTTTAACATTTGAATAGTATATATTTATTATTTTTTTTAATGTAGTGATTATATTAACTTTATGCTTTCTTTAAATATAAAGAACATAAAATACAAACAATCCACAGATGCTTTATAATAATAAACTTTACTTAAAATACGGAAAACTTGGCTCAACTAACAGTTGTTATTCTGCAAGACCGTGTATACAACAATTTAACCAGAAAAAAAAATAAAATAAAAAAAAAAGACTTAAAATAAACAAATCAAACAATTGTTAAAACACACAAATATCTAAACTAGACTTAAATCTTAAACTAACTTAATTACACTAAACAAACTCGAACAAAACAAAAATACTGTAGTTTATGTGGGATCAGGTACTTTTTTTTTTATTAAAGAACACCTAGAGTGTATATGTATAGGATTAGACACTTTTTATCTACCATGATCATTAGCAAAGTATACCTAAAATAACATTTTTTATTAATTCATTTGTGTTTTGTTAAAAATAGATGTGTGCCAAAGTATATGTGAACCAGTTACCCAGGAATTCTTGTTGAATTTCCTTGAAAATGAAGCTATAAAACCACACTTTAAGCAAACAAGCCATCTATCAACAAGACCTGGAACAAGTAGCAGTTCTTCTGATCAGGGTCTCATGCCTCCACCACCAGCTCCAAAAAAACAATGAATAGACCAACTCCAAAAATACGATGAATATGGTCTCATACCTCCGCCACCATCTCCAAAAAGACGATGAATAGACCAACTCCAAAAAGATGATGAATATGGTTTCATGCCTCCACCACCAGCTCCAAAAAGACGATGAATAGGGTCTTATGTCTGTACGACCAACTCCAAAAAGACGATGAATAGGGTCTTTGCCTGTACGAACAGCTTCCTATTAGCAATTACTAGGTTTGTATGCCTCCTCCACACTAAGAGGCGTAACCACAGAAAGAATATCATTTTCTTTATTATGTAGGCCTAGGCCATATTGGTGTATTGCTTCAAATTTTCAATCAGTTATGAACTTCCAATCAAATTTATATTTAAAAATCCATACCAAAAATACACAACACAGGCATAATATAGTACTAATGTTTAAAATATATTGGTATCTTTATTAATAAATTCTCAAAAAATACATGTGCAAATTACAAAAAGACATAAAAGACATAAACAATTTAATGCAAAAGTGTAATGTAATGTATATAAATTTGCATTAAATTTTATTACAAAATAGTAGTTGCAAATTCATTACAAAAATAAATTAAAATTCTTTACAAAATTACATTAAAATTCAATACAAAAAACCCCAAAAGACTGCATAATTAGGGCAACTATTTTTGTTTTTGTTTTGTTTTATTTAGCATTTTGCATAAAAAATTCAATTTACATCATCATAATACAATAAAATTTCATCAAAAAGACACGGTTACATGATACATTTGATTTTGATAGTTTTGGGAATATATTGACATTGTTTAAATATGGTAAGCATACTGTACATTCTTTATTCTTTATAGTTGCAAATACAATTTTTAAAAAAGTGGAAATGCTTAATGTACACTGGGCCTATGGTTTATAGTCCTTATTGACTTGTTGCACATAACAGCATACAGTGACGTACATAACAGCACACTGAGATGTCCATAACGGCACAAAGTAACATTTTATGCATGATGTATAGTGAATAAACCATTGCATTGTAATGCACACTATAAAACTCCATTATCATTCAGGTGGTCAAACAAATCAAACCTAATTTGACTCGTGCTGAATTGAGTTGATATTTACATGCCATAGTCCTTATAGACTTGTTGCACATAATGGCATACAGTGACGTACATAACAGCACACTGAGATGTTGTCCATAACGGCACAAAGTGACATTTTATACATGATGTATAGTGAATAAACCATTGCATTGTAATGCACACTATAAAACTCCATTATCATTCAGGTGGTCAAACAAATCAAATCTAATTTGACTCGTGCTGAATTGAGTTGGTATTTACTTGCCATCATAATTAAGCCTACTGTATGTACTTACCTCTGTATAATAAAAGGCATATTTAAAGTAATCATCATAGCTGGACTATACTCTACTGTGTAAACTGTGTTGGTATCTAAATGAATTGTCATACATACTGTAGTAGGCTATACCCTACTCTATATTATTGAGTTATGTTTAACTAATAGCAGCATGTGAAGCTCTAAAACTACAGACATACATTGTTTATTTAATGAGTGTTCTTTGCAAAGATACACCTGTAAATAAATTTGAGTATGATTGGATTGGTTTAGATTGGATTTATTCGCTTTGAAATACACTAAAAATAAACCGCCGAAGATTTATTTCACTTTGGTACTTCTGGTGGTGAATTGGGCAGTAGACTGGGAGAGTGTTCTTGCAGGAGCCATATTTGCACAGGGGACCAATGGCTTAAATGTGATCTACAGTGGCATATCTAGTGTTACTGAAATGTGGGTGGGGAGCTGATGATTAAGTGAGGGAGAGCTAACAGTAAAATAAGGTTCAAGTTCATTTCATTTGTAATGCATACAAATTCAGGAAATTTGCTTTCCTGGTACAAAGAATAAAAAACAAGATACAAGTCAAATATTGCATGCACTGAAAATATGAAAAAGTAATAATATTAATAACAATAACTTTCTTTTACAACAGAAGCTTGTTCACCAAGGAGGTGTTCTTCCATGAGACCATGTGAGGTCTCACCATGAAATGAGACGCATCGTTGGTGAAATCATATTGAGATATTCACCAAAATAGGTCATAGGCAACATTTTTACAAAATTTTAATTTTAATGTTTTTGAATAACTTGATACTTATATTTTATGATTGTGTACTTTTTAAGTGAATTTTCTTACTAAAACCGTGTTCTCTTCGCATATTCTGTAATTTTCATTCTCTCTGGTTCTCATACACCTAAATTTAAATGCCAACATCTCTGGATCTATTTATCCTAGGGAAGCCATTCAAAGACCAAATTACAGCTTATAATGTGATCTACCAAAATGTAATATTAACTCATTTTTTTATTTTCTAACGATGAGACTCATTTTGTAGTGAGATATTATATGTAACTTACCATATAACATAGCAGCTTCAATAATTGCTTTTAATGTTTTACATTTTATTCCTGTTGTTTTACAGCCTTAACTATATTATTCTTTTTCATAGCCGTCAGAAGCATTCAAGTGGTCTGGCTATTGTAAGAGCAACGTATTGGTAGGAATGATTTAACAGGGACAGGAGAAAAGTTAGGGATGATTTGTTTTATAGATATTCAGAAACGCACTGTTTTATTAAATATATACGAAAAAATACTAAGCTCAGGGGCGGATATAGGTTCACATTTAGGGAGGGGTCAGACTTTTTTTCATAAAAACGCCAAAAAAATAGGATAACCCCAAAGAGGAAGGGGATCCGCGGTCCTCCCCCTGGAAAATTTTGATTCTTAGCTGGCAGGAAATGAGCTTTCCAGAATTTTGAGGTGTCTTTTAATGACTTTTAAGTTCTTCAAAATTCAAGGTTTTCCTCCTCTTGCAAATGGTCAGGTAAACTTTCTTATCATTCTTATTACAGTAAATAGGTCTAGTTATGTGTGTATACGTACGTAAAAAATTGAGTTGCTTACGCATTCTTTTTTCCATGAATGGATAACCCCAAAGAGGATGGGGGTCTGGGGTCCTCCCGGGAAAAATTTGATCACTAGATGACAGGAAGTGAGCTTTCCCGACTCTTTTAATGACTCTCAAGTTCAAGTTTCTTAATTTTTAAGGTTTTCCTCCGCTTGAAAACGGTCAGGTAAAATTCTCATTCTTATTACTGTAAATACTAGTAGCCCTACTATGTGTGTATGTACAGTATATAACAAAAATTTAATTGCTGCATACATACTCTTTTTTCAATAGATGAACCCCAAATAAAACGGGGGTCGGGGTCCTCCCCGGGAAAATTTTAGTTCTTAGATGGCGAGAAATGATTTTTCTTGACTTCTGAAGTGTCTTTTAATCAAAATTCAAGGTTTTCCCCTTTTGTAAACGGTCATGTAATTTTTTCTCATTCTTATTACAGTAAATAGGCCTATGTGTGTACTGTTACACAGTTTTTTTTGGTTTTTTTTCCCCAAGGGGGTATCAGGACCCCTCAGATCCGCCAATGGCTAACAACTTTTTTGTCTGGTACTTTTTCAGAAACTGACCACATACAAAATAAAACACCTATAAAAATATGTCAAAAATTATCTCAGGCAAAAATGCCAAATCTTACACTTTTTTACCCCAAAGTAGTATTTAGAAGCTCGTATGTTACTGAAAGATTCAATTTGAATTATCTATCAAATGATGTGTATGATGACACATTATGTTAGTGTTGTGATCAAAAGAGTACCAAAAACTTTATTTTTTATGGCTTTTTTTTGCTAAATTCAAATATACATTACAGTGTATATTTATGAGATTTATGAATTGTTTCCACGCTGAATTTTGGATTTTTACCAAAAAATGCCAAATTTTACATATTTTTACCCACAAATTATATTTTTAGCAAAAATTAATTATAGACTTGCCACAAGTCCCTTATTTTTTCTCATTCTGGACAGCACCACCAACAAGCAAGTTAATTTTGAGAATCCGTAATAAAGAGTGAGTAACCCAAAATTAGGGCCGAAAAATACTAAAGCTAACAACCTTTTCGTATACTTATTCAAAAACTGACCATATACAAAAATTTATTATCCATTTTTTATTTCTGAGCTATAGTATGTCAAAGGCCATCTCTCGCAGAAATGTCAAATGTTACACTTTATTTTTAAATTGAAATGGTAATATAGACCACTCCAATTAAAGACCGCTTTTCTGTGAAAAGCTAGTACTGTAGGTTACTAAATGATTCAATTTGAATATACAAGTTTCCCTACAATCAAAGACCACTTTGGGACCAGGGTTTCTATGGTCTTTAGCCTCTTTGGTCTCTAATTAAAATAATAAAGATAAAAGCCATTTGTTAAAATGGGAGCACAGAAAAGTGGTCTTTAATTGGAGTGGTCTTTAATTAAAGGGAGACCTTATTTGGTATCATACGTCAGCTATGAAAATTATTTATCAAAAGGTATGTACATAATAACACATGTTAATGATGTGACCTAAAAAGTACCAAAAAAACTTATTTTTTATGACTTTTTTTGGCTAAATTAAATGATACAGTTAAATTTTAATAAAATTACTAAGCTAACTACCCTTTCCTCTGATACATTTATCAGAAGCTGGTAAATTCTCATCACGAAGCCTTTGCTCACACGGAGTGGTCGGTTTCCCGGATGGATTTTGGATTTTAGTGCCAAATTTTACATGTTTTTACCCAAAAATTGTATTTTGAAGCTAGTTATTGGGCCACTATTATTTATTACTGTATATATACTGTCTCTTATACACATCTAGATGTGTATAAGAGACAGCTCCTAATTAACCACATACACACATTCATCAATGTTGATATGTTTGGGGGTTTTTTTTGTTTTTTTTTTTGCAAATAAATACATTTTTGATGTTTGGATGAGAATATGTATTTTTTTAATTTTTTTGTTTTGTTTACTGAATAAAATGAAATAGTAAGTGGTTTATCACTTTTAATTTAATAAGAGACAGCTGTAATTCATTACTTTTTGACTCATTTAACAAAGATATCAAACGTCTTCAGCTTTTACAGAACAGAACTGAGCTAGTTCATAATTTGATCATGTCTCGTCTCTTTTTACTCAACTTTACTGGCTTCAAATACAACTACTATCAACCAAAAACGTATATTATTAACCATAATCTAAAAATGTATTCATGACTCTGCTCCTACATATTTACAAAGCATTATATCAACTCAGGACTTCGTTCCGAAATGGACTCATTAACGTTATCCTTCTGAAAACACACCTAATATCATAAAAGGTTTCTTTGCACAAGCACCATTGATCTGGAATCGGCTTCCATTTCACATTTCTACGCAATTTATGTCACTTCTTAAAACTCGCTTGTTTCAATAGATTGTTGGCCTTTAAAGCGCTGTGAGACAGTAGTATAAGAGCGTTATATAAATGTTCAATATCATCATTCCCCCCCCCCTTTGGAAAGTAAAAAAAAAAAAAAAAAAATCGCCCGAAAGTCCTTGAGAGTATCTCGATCGGTCCCACTTTGGCCCCTCCCCTTTTTGGATATCCCTGGATCAGCCTCTGCCCAGATCTGCCCCTGCCTTAAAGAATGCAGTAAACTCTTCGGAACAGAGTAAGTGATTGTCCCCCTGTGTACTACCCGATCATCCCCCAGAAGGACCCCACTGGAATGAAGTCTTCACATTTTCGTGGGTTATCCTTGGTGTTTACACACCGAATAAATCCATCCATCATCCATCGACCCGATGCTTGTGTGGTGATGACAGTTTAGTCGACTCAATCCAACACAAAGTTTATACTGTATACAGTAGTCAATTGTTGCTGCGAAGCAGCCAATTCATATTCTTGACAGCAATTTGACCTCTGTAAAGGTCATTGTCAAAAAAACAAGGGCCTAAGACGACTGAAAAGCGGAATTTCCTTCTTTCGTTCTGCCGGGTAAAATCAAATACTTTAGGCGACGTTTGTAGACTAACTTACACGTACCAACGTCCTCATGTCGCGACGCTCGAGTATTACTATTCAGCGTTTCTACTATATTTCTAGGTTTCCTATTTCTACGTTTAATCGGCCCCTATCTCAGCCACAATATTTTGAAGGCAAATATTATTTACGAACCCAGTTAAACTTATTTACTAGCCTATTTCAGCGTGCTAATTATTACATTTAGGCGACGCTTGTTGTAGACTGGCATACACGGTACCAACGCTCGTTAACACTATATTTGATAAGTTTTGCAAAGCATATTTGCTAAACAGGCTTGGATAAGGCATTCTATTCTTATGAACATTTCTATATGAAGATGTTTTGCTCTGTATTGTACTGTTTAAGATTGCTTAGACTTTTATGTTTGCATTTACATATACTGAAGTTGTATGTGTGTACAGGGTGATGGGGTGGGTGTGTATATATGGGGTGGTGGGGGTGGGTGTGTTTGTTGGTTATGTGAATTTGCTTAGACTAGTAATTTTGTTCATTGTAGACTGGTTTATTTAGTAGGTTTTTGTTGCTTGGTTTATCTGAATTTGTTATTTTTGAATGCACCGTCCTTTGACGCGCGCCACTGATGTAAAAGTGTATGTTTGAATAAATTATTATTATTATTAT